TAAAATAAAAACCTAAACAAAATCTAAATGATGAATTTTTGTAAGAATGAATTGGTGGCACCGGTATTTCCCTTTAAGAAAAAAGAAAACTAAAAAAACTAAAACAGATAATGACAAAATTTGGAGATAATATACACAAAATTGTGTTTAAAAATATATGCATATATTAGTAGAATTTTCACAAAACTAAAGTTTTCTTAGAAGGAACGAATTAGTGGCATGGGTATTGCCCTTAAAGAAGAAATAAACCAAATAATAATTAAATCAAAACAGAATAATAAAGTTGTATTAGAAACAATGAATTAGTACCATAGGTATTACTCTTTAAGAATAAAGATAATGAAAAAGTTAAAGAAACTTGCACACAACTTTGCACTAAAGTTACACTTATGTAGTATGCAAACACCAATCATAAATTGTGTATTTTTTTCTCGTATTGCATAGTATTTATTTAACATTTATACTCATCCAACATCTAAAAAATATCTAAAAACCTACTAATAAAGAAAAACAAAAGGAGAAACACATAAAAACAAAAGAAAAAAAGGGAAAGAGGGGCCGACTGGGAGGTACAAGTAATGGGCTTCAGCCCGATAGCAATTCGACTGACCCAAAATATGTGGCCAGTCAAAAGAAATAGCCCAAAGAAACTCATAGAACAGCCCGGAAGAAATGAAAATGTAGCATGAATCTTAGAGCAAGAATCAGCGGCCAGGAAATTGACTGACCCAAACTGAAAATTCAGGGGACTTGCATATAGCTAAAGTCAATGTTATTATCTTATGAATCAGACTATCTTTGGAGTCCTTTTACGATGCCTTGGTAAATATGGGCCGTCAGTCGGACTAGATTGGACGGTCCAGATCGGATGCAATACGCTGACGACGTGTATTATATTACGGCCCGACGAGCATTTTCGGTAAAAAAAACTCAAACAAATCAACATTTCCCTCTCAAAGTATTGTAGGGGTATTTTTGAGAGAGAATTTTATCCATTTCATTCCCCTCACTGCAATTCCCCCCTACACCGCGACCATTCGCGGTAGTAGGGCTTGACCTCTAGCCGGCGGTAGGGTTTCATCCCTATCCGACAGGTTGGAGTAGCACATCTGCTGCACCCCATCACCCGCTCCGCCCCCTTCCTCCCATTCTAATCCACTTCCCCTCTCGCACCTCCTCTTCATCGAAGAACATGAGCAGAGGCCGTCCTTCCTCCCCGCGGCCGCCGCCGCCGATGATCAATTTGTCGCCATCCACCTTCCGAGTCCTCTATGTGTGTGCCTCTAACCATGAGGTGAGCCGCTACATATTTCCTCCTTCCCCGTGGTTGTTTGCGTCCCCTAGCTCACCTCTCCACTGTGGCCGCGGCTTGCTTTGGCCATGCATGTCCTCTGGCAGCAAAGTGGTTGCGTACCAAGGTGCCGTTCTCACTACTAGCGTGGTATTGCAGGACTAGGATGAAGCCGGCCGGCCTAGATGGTGAGCCCCATTTGTGCGAGCTCATCCACCTCACGGCCAAGATCTAGGTATGTTCGATTGTTGATAATGTACAATTATTCTGGAGTTCTGATACAATTATATAACTAACTGAATCTTTATTCCTTCAATTTGGCTGATAGGTGAGACTTGGTTGATTTATTTAGGAAGAGGTGATAATCTATTAATTTCATATTGTAATATAAACAATTGATAGCTTATGTTGGTCAGTATTTATGGTGCTCGCTTCTTCATATGCAATTGCTGGACTGGGGTAATCTATGAGACAGTATGTATGAGTGGTCGACTGATTTGGGCATGTGGTTTATATAATTTTAAGATTCATAGGGGATATATCCAGCATTTGAGGATAAGCGTAAATTCTTATTACGATGATTTAGCTTTGTTAAAGAGAGAGGAATGAGCATTGGATTGTAAAACCGTTGCTTTTGATTCTTGGAATATTAGTTATGTGCAACTTTTGTTAGTTGGATGCTCGCTTCTTCAAAAAGTTGATACCCTCTGAACTAGTGCCGGTGTAGGATAGAATACACGAACGTATATTACATTTTTCAAAAAAGATAAGTTGCATGTTTACACTATGAACAAAACAATGGACAAAAAATAGTAATTTTTTCACTGTTTTGCAGGCTTATGATGCTACATGCTATGTGATTCCCCAACGCTCCAGTGCTGCTGGTGGGCAAGATGGAGGCGGGATGGATGTACCATGGTCAGCCCGATGTGCTCCCGATGGTGGCCACCCCGTTCTGCTCCCGATGGTGGCTACAGCGAACGCTACTACATCGACGCGTAACTAGCAGTGTTCGAGAGGAGTACACGTTGCAGGCTAACCGCGTCCAGCTATGAACACTATTGGAGAGCTACTCCTTAGAGCATCTCCACTAGCCTCGCCGGCGGCCAAAAAAGTACCCACTCACGCCCTCAAGATCTTAATTATCGCCAGATTTGGATAAAAGTATGGCCGGCGCTCCCACCCAAACACAGGATCCTGGGGGCAGCTGGGGACGCCGACAGTTGCCTTTTGCATGCACAGGTCCACTGTCAGCCCCTCTCTCCCCTCTCTCTCCTCTTTCCTCTCCTTTCTCTCTTTTCTCTCTCCTCTCTCCTCTCCCTTTCCTTTAAAACCTACCACACACAGCACATGGCCAGGGGCGTCCGGCAACGCGAGCTGCGCGTCGATGGCCGAGAAGGACGACGACTTGGACTCGAGCTCCAGGCGCTGGAGGAGGCGCCACTGCGAGATGAGCTTCGGCAGGTGCGCCTCGTCCGCGGCGGAGTGCAGCGGCAGGAGCGCGAGCCGGCGCAGTCTCGGGCAGTCGGCGGCGACGCGGTCGAGCTCGGCGGCCGGCGTGGAGAGGAGCGGCGGGAGCGCGAGATCGGACACGGAGCCCGCCGCGCGGGCGAGGCAGAGCATGAGGAACCCCGCGAAGGCGAAGCAGGCGACCCCGTGGTGGCGCGCGAAGGCGGCGGCGAGCGCGCCCCAGGGCATGAAGCGCGCGATGTGGTCCTGGCGGAGGTCGAGTGCGCGCCACAGGGACGTGATCACCAGCACCCTCTCGTCCTCGTCGGCTCCCGCTTCTCGCCTCCTAGGGGCGCAACCAGTGGCAAAATTCCTGCCCCCAGGCCAAAGTTCTCGCCGGCAGCCCCCCAGGAGGCAAAAAAATGCCTTCTAGGGGGGCTCAACGGCAAGAGATGCTCTTAGCAGCGTTTGCCCGGACGCTGCTGGTTGTTGACTACCAGCGGTGCGATAGTAGCGGCGTTCCACTCAAACGCTGCCACAGAGCACATTCGGAGACCGCCAATGAGGGGGTTCTGTACTAGTGCATGGGTCAAATGTCGTTTGATGCCGGTCAAAGGGCTAGATTTGTCGGTCAAACGGGTTAGGGTTAGGCCGCTCCGGGGTCTTGGGAGGGTAGGAATCCTACCAAAACTTGCATTGTGTCCTAGCACATGTATATAGTTGTGGTGGTATGTTTAAATACTCAGTACCTGGCTCCCGAGTGTGACCGGCTTCAGGAACGGCAATAACACCGAAGGAACATTCGACGGTAAGAGGGGGAAACTGCCACCACGAGTGACCCGGACGGAATCTTGTGATAACTTGGGTAACCTATGGTCTATGTCTTTGAATCTGATCTTTATATGGGTAAACTAGGGGGTCTAAAGAGTAAAAAGGCCATCAAATATTGAAGTGGCAAAGTTGGGGTAAAAGAGAAAGATAGGGAAATTGACGACAGTGAAAATAAGGGCCATGAAATCTAGTCGGAAGAAAATGAATGAGAAATAGGAAACATAAATAATATTAAAAATAAATATAAATGCAATGGTCTGGAAACCTTTTTGTATTAAAAATAGATTTGCAAAAAATATGTAAAACTTAAGACGAGTGTGTAGAGTCATGGCACACGGCTTGTAACGTGTCTAAGCCGAGTGTAATGCTAGGGCACATGGCTTATAACTTGTATAAGCTGAGTGGTATGTCAGGGCACACAGCTGATAACTTGTATAAGCTGAGTGGTATGTCAGGGCACACGGCTTATAGACTGTTCTTTGACAGCGTCATCATCCACGCCGTTGTTTACACATGGTATATACCCTTACGAGAACTCGCTGTAAGCCGAGAGCCTTTTTGTTTATATACCGAATGCCCTTTTTAAACTGAATACATGTTGTAGGCACTCGGCTTATAAGGTACTGTAAGCCGAAGCCTCCATGTTTGTTGTGTGTTCTTTTAACGGTACTCGGCTAGGGATGTAAGCCAAAGTACCCGAAATATTGCACTCGGTTTACACACATGGCTACACGGAAACGCATGATTTTGCTGTAGTGAATACTGGCAAATGATTGACATAATACATGCACAAAACAGTGGACAAGTATACCCATGGTGGTTGTTTGCGTGAAACATAATACTATGATGGTTTTTTTTTTATAATCTAATACTATGATGTTTTTTTTTGATAATCTAATACTATGGTGGTTTTGCGTAATTACAAACAAAAAGTTCTCTAGTATAGTATGGACGTTTGCTCGCAAGAGAGACGCGTCCTTTCAAGTTCTCCTCTGTCGACTAGAGAGCGGACCAACGAGCTCGGATAACGACCGGCGGACACGTAGTACGGTACGTAGTTCGAGCGGGTCTAGGTTTCGTGGCCAAGGATGACTACGTACGCATCCCACCGATGGAATGGAGCCCCCATCCCCCAAACTCGCGGCTCACGTCGACCAGCCGCCGCCACTTGTGCAAGTGCAGGCGCGCCGCGGAGTATTTGTGCGGCCGTGGTTGCTCCTTGGACTGGTGGATGGGCACCAACGTGGAGGAGCGGAAAAGATCTCACGCCCCCGCCGTCGTCTATAAATACGAGCCCGGACGAGGGGAAGCAAACCACGCTGCCTCGTCGTCCCCCTCCGTCGTCTCCCTTGGTCCGTACGTACGTACTTGGAGGAGCTGAAAGAACGCTCGAACCGAGAGCTCGATTGTTTGGCGCGAGCTTGCTAGCATGTGTGCCGGCGACGGCACCAGGGAGCGCTGCGCATGCGCGCTGTGCGGCGCGGCGGCGGACGTGCACTGCGAGGCGGACGCGGCGTTCCTCTGCGCGCCGTGTGACGCCCAGGTGCACGGCGCCAACTTCCTCGCGTCCCGTCACCGCCGCCCGCGCGTCTCGCCGACGCCTAAGGGCGTGGGCGTCATGTCCAGGACTGCTACGACGTCGAGCTCCTGCGTGTCCACGGCTGACTCCGCGACGACGGCGGCGCTGCACGGCAGGAAGACGACGCCGCCGCCGGCTAGGAGGCGCGCCGCGCGGGGCGAGGCGGTGCTTGACGGCTGGGCCAGGCGGATGGGCCTCGAGGCGGGGGCGGCGCACCGCTGTGCAACCGCTGCCAGCCGCGCGATCCGGGCCCAGGTAGCCGCGGCCATGCCACACGTGCCGCTGCGTGTCGCGATGGCTGCGGCGCTGTGGTCGGAGGTGGCGGCTCATGGCGTCCACGAGCCCGGCGAAGCGCTCCGGCGCCTGGAGGCCTGCGCGCACGTGCCGGCGAGGCTCCTCGTGGAGGTGGCTCCGCTGTCGACGATGGGGAACGCGCGCGGGAAGAAGAGGACGGCCGCAGTGGACGCCGCCGAGGACGGCTGGGGCGAGTGCTCGATCGTGAGCCCACACAAAACACCATCTTCTCCAAGACACGAGCTTCTCTTGTTCGTTTAGTACTACAGTACTACTACTAGTAAGTTCTACTGTAGCTCAGATGATCAAATTACAACCAAAGATATACGTGACGTTACTGTGTATTAAATATAACATGAATAGAATTGCGAGGCATATGCATGAAGTATAACATGCAAAAAAAATCATCTAAAATACATTGAGTTGAGCGTATTTTGGCTAGGTGTCTTTTTTGGCAATCTCAAAGCTAATGTACAATCCACAAAGTTGGAGTATGATTTATGAAGGTACATAGCCTTAAATACGAAGTAAAAATGAATGACAGTCTGGATATAAAAAGAATTTAGGAAAGTCCAAGTATGGAAGAGTCTAGAATATAGTAGAAGTGTGCCTTGAGTTTTGTGCAAAATGTTCACATGGCTTCTAGATAGTACACATAGAATCTTCTAGATAGTACACATGGCATAATATGGTGAAGTAATGAGAAGATCCAACAGTCAACAACAATTCGATTTGCCACGTCACTACCGCCGGATCGGCTTAATCCAACAATGGTATTCAAAGTTATTCGTGCACTATATGATGGTATAGATATAGATATAGATATATATAGATATTAATTGTTTAAATGTTGTAGTAAAAGTTGATCTAATCGATGACCAAAAACTTCATTCATAAACATACTCAAAATGTAAATCCCCAAAAATCCCCGGTGTTGAGAGAGTGGCTCCTAATCGATGCACAAAACTTCATCCTCCAAATATTTTGAACTGCATTCTTCCATTTGTGCATTCAAATGAGCAAATTGCACTTTATAATGAACACATGAACAACATTTGAACATAGAGTTCATAATTAAACATGACTTTCAGCTTCACAGTTAGAGATACATAATTAAACTTAGCTCCGACGGAAGTCAAGCCTACCATAAGCACAACTAAACATAAATAAAGTTAGATTAATTTTTAAATATAAATAAAACTACCATATAATCCAAGTTTAATCCTTGCTACATTGCAAGCCTCCTCCTCCTCCTCCTCTTCCTCCGTCGCCACCTTAGTGGAAATGTCCTCATGTAGCTCACCGAAGACCTCGTCGTGAGCCCTCCGACGTGCCTCAAAGGCGACCCGGTGCTCATAGTAGGCGAACTCGGCATGATATGAGGCCAAAAAGGCCTTGATTGCTTGGCGCTCCTCGCGACAAATTTCTCAATGGTGGAGCGTTACTCCGAGTTTGGCATGACACAAGGCCACAAAGGCCTCGATTGTTTGTTGCTCCTCCGTGATCTCGTTGTCCTCCATCTCTTGCTCACGCTATAGCTGCTCAAACCACGTTAGTTGAGGGGTGGACTTGGACGAGGAGTAGGTCGTTATCTCCATGTCCTCGCTACTGATATCACCAGAGGACGAGCTCAACAATGGAGTGTGCACAACAGAGCAGCCAGTTGCGATCGTGGAGGAGCTTGATGGACCATGATGGCGCGGCTACCACGGCAGCTACATGGGTACGACTAAGATGCCGTGACACATCGTCCGCAAGCAAAATTGGCAGTGGGCATTGATACAACCTAAATGTATCTACTTTTCTGAACACTTTGCTATGTTTTTTCCACCTAATTTGCATAATTTGAATAAATATTAATCCGGGCTGACGCTTCAGCGAGATTTCTATATGTTATTTTCTGTGCAGAAAAGTTACTCCAAAAATTATAGAAATTTTATCCATAAGACAAGAGCCACGGAGTCAGAAGATGGAACCAGGGGCACCCGTGGGACCCATGCGGGCAGTCTACACGACCACCCCTAGCCGCATGGTGTGCCGACATGGGGCCCACAGGTACCGCCCTTCGATGCCTTTGGCATATATTAAATTGTGAGGTGGAACTCACATTGGGGTGTTTTGCAGGGGCGTGATGCTGAGCCCATAAATCTTGGGTGGAAATGCCACAAAGCAAGCTCATGCCTTGAAAATCAATAGTCGGGGATTGCGGA